AGTAGAACAAATGAATGGGACAAGAAATATTGCATGATGCTGTGTTATTTAGCAGTCCGTTTCGCGCTCGGAAGTAAGGAGTAACTCGCGGCATTAACGAATGCCCACATTTACCCATTCATAGTCGGTTATCCGATCGTGACGATAACACAGCGTTAGATATGTATCGATCGTCCAGTGCACAGAAACGTCTGACGCTATGCTTCCAATCCATTGCGATCGTTACGATCTTTACGATCGGACAACCAACTATGAATGCGTCTTAACAAACCAATCAGGGCCGGATTCAATCCATGTCAGGGGTTTGGGACGAAAATCCCCTTAAGTTCTCGCTGTCTTAACGGCTGGGATTGTCCTGATAAAGGGCCTACATTTAATGTATGTATGTAGGTCAAAGTAAACATGCACTGAAAATGAAGAAACGATACCGTTAGAACAAATGAAATCCAAAGAGAATTTTCGTCCCTCAACCCCTTGGGGGAAGATTGGATCCGGGGTGCTATGCAAGTAGGGTGGGCAAACCGCATTTTTGGACAGAAATGTATGTAAGTGGGACTGCTGCTCGCTACTATACTGTCACGAGAATTGGGGAATTTCGTGAGCCAGGGGGAGTGTAGCCAATCTAGGGGGTGGGGGTGAGGGCAGACACTTGGCATGCGTGAAAAGCTGGGCGTGCCCACCCCATTTGTATAGAGCCGAATCTGGCCCCAATTAAATGGGTTGTATGACATCTAATCCTTTTGGTGTGACGAGAATCATGTATTAACGCAGAGGAGCAAAAGGATGAGATGTCACAACACCAGTCTTGCTGTGGTTTGCTGGACTCCATGTTTAGACCCGGCTTTCATTCATGTCTGAGACTTAGGCAAATGTTGATTTGGAGCGGCGCTATATTAGAGCCTGTTTTAATTTTAGCTAGCTAATGGGAATTTCGCGGAGTTCACGGCTGATGAGTTGGTTTTTCGCTCACCTAATAAATATATTACCAGGAACAACAATGCTTAGGCAGCAGTCAGGGTTGGCTATCATACATGCGATTTGGCGATCTTGCGAGTAAGCGAGATTAGAAAGAAAGCTGTCGAATTTTTCGGTCCGCAACAGCGATCGCCAACTCTGAACGCTGCCTCACGACGGCCTACAATAGCGAGGCTTTCCATTTCACCTAGCAAGTCGAGTGAAATACATGTGCCACATTGTTCTAGCCAATTTTGCCTGCAGTTTGGTGGGAGTTGTCTGAGCAGTAACAATTACTGTTTTTGAACATCAGCTAGTTCTAGCAACTTATGATGTTGAACACACATTCAAATACTTCCACGACTCAAAAGAAGTTGGCGGTTGGTGGCGTGGCGTACACTGTCAACAATGTGTAGGACGGTGCGGCAGGGCGGCGAACGGCCTACGGGATGAACGGGCTTCACGAGAAATCATTTCGTTTTCATTTTCGCCTCGTCGTCAAGCCAACCAACCTACTGTGTCGGGGCCTGCTTAGCTGCACTCCTCCCACCAGAGGATCAAAAGAGGATCAAAGCCGACACACTCTGTCGAAGGCGAAGTGATTTCGAGAGCGAAAGCCTAATTAAAAGGGGCACGCACTCCTCAGCCCCTCTCATCACCCGGAACCCTACATTTAATCTCCATATGAAGATTTTAAAATCTCCCACCATGGATTCAGAATTTTCTCAGCTCTTCACAACCTTGTATTGAGGTTTGAACTGTTTCTTGAGAAAAAAAAACAAGACCTAGAAACTATAAAAATAGGACTTTCAGCAGTGCTCGTCATTTGACGCTCCAAGGGAAGCGGGTCAACGGAAGACGTTTTGCGTCATCAGCATTTATATTAGTGGTTTCTCTGGACACGGTCGATATACAGACACACTATTACGAGTACCTATGCTTTTTCTTCTCTCCTTCAAAGGCTTCCTAGCCCCTAGAAAGGCACAATTGTGGTTGCTTTTCTGTCTGACTCGTGCCACTTGGGTTAACCACTGCCGTAAACCAGGGCGTCGCGCCTCACCAGTGCCGACCTTTTCAGGAAATCTACTTTCTACGACCCCCTTCCGATACAGAATTTCCCACGACCTCTCCGTTTACCACCGGCCGCCACCACATAGCTCGTGTATTTATTCTGAGACCAACCACACTTAACTCACACACTTTTTCCTTCCCAAAACAGCCGTTCGGCGAACGGGGGGGCGACGGGCTGGCAGTTGAACGGCTAGATTTTTCTACTCCTTTCACACTAGCACTCCCCAAACTCGTATACGACCCCCACTCCACCTACAAAACTCAACAAAATTTGACCCCCCCCCTGTTGATACTGATCGCAACATAGGATTGAACCTGCCCGTAACCGTCATTTGACTAATGTCTGCAATTGCGGTATAGGACCTGGACGCGCATTCCAGCGCGCGAATTTACAGCAGTAGCATTTCATAACTTTCAGTAATTACTTGTCACGGTAATCTACAGACATATTGTGTCCTTTTTTGTAATTATTTCTGTTCTCCTCTCCAATATTCAGGTTGTTCGAGGACTTTGTCAGTTGATAAAAAGTAAAGTTTTAACCTCACCAAGGGTTTTACAGTGGTGGGGGGGGGACTTCTCGTTTGGGTACTCACTCACAAGTAATGGAGATAAGGTGAGTATTGTTTCACACAAAGTTGAGTTTTTAGCTTGTAGAGAGTACATGGCACCTCTTCTGTTAACTGTAGCCTCGGTTTGCACTGCGAAATCACTGGCTAAATCACTCACAATCAGGCAAATAGTATCGTGCAGTGCAATTTCTTGTATTTTCGGAAGTCTAAAACCAGATGTAATACCTCAGGGTTTTTTGTGATCTGCTCTATTTCAGCCCAACTACTTGCCGTCTCGAGATCCTTCACGTCCAGGTTTGTTACGAGCTTTTATTATTACATTTTCACTCGGATTCTTAACGAGTAGTTCTTCGAAATTTCTGATGTCATGATGGGAACTGTTTAAGAAGTATGTTTGATCTAGATCGTTCTCGTTCACCGCATCGCGAAGTCCACCCATGGGAGAAAGGCGGACAACCGAAATCTGTGTTGTTATCCGCCGATCATACAGTTCACCGGCCAGAGGTTGTTTAATTATTCAGTGGATTTTCTGAGTTTTCGCTGGGTCATTTTAAGCGCGTATTCTATTAGGGTGTCTCATAAATGGGTGTGCGCGTATTTTTCAACCAAAAAATTTTTCATCCAAAATCCCCATGCTTTTACAGCGAGTTATATACCATTCGAAAAGAGAATTGTCTGCTCTACAAAATATCGTGTTCTTCTTCCATCTATGTTCAATGGTTTTCAAATTTGAGGCATGCGAAATGGGAGGTCCCGCCGACAAAAATTGACCAAACCGACAACTAGCTCTAACTTTATGTTCCCTGGGAGAAATCAATCAATGATGTACCCTCTACTTACTCATGACCTCTTCTGAACATTCCACCCTTAGGTTGCCGAAAAAGGTTTGCCCTGTTTCTTTTCGAATTGGCCGACCGATAAGCCATGGCAATTTTCAAATTGAAATTCTTCCTCTGAAACGCTATTGTTTTATATCAACTGGTATATCTTTTGTGAGCACTTCTTCTGCTCTATTCGCTCATTTGTTTTGTTTTGATGTTTGTTAGGAATTAGCTCGAATTTTAGGGTTTAGGAGTAAGGTGCTTTGTCCACAAAAGTGACCGCATTTCTTTGAAAGAAATTATCCTTGAGGAGATGAGAAAACCAACCAGGCGTACATTCCTAACTTAGTCACGACTTGTTCTTGAAATTCCACTACTAGTTTTTCAATGTCTCGGCTGTAAAAAAATTTCGACCTCGATCTCAGGTAATGGTGCTCGACCGTCGAGTTCTGGTTGAAAAACCAGGGTCTGGAAATGGAATGACGCGACTTGTTGGGAAACCTAATAGTGTAATGTTTAGAAGAGGTCATGCATAAGTAGAGGGTACATCATTGATTGATTTCTCCGAAGGGAACATAAAGTTAGAGCTAGTTGTCGGTTTGGTCAATTTTTGTCGGCGGGACCTCCCATTTCGCAGGCCTAAATTTGAAAACCATGGAACATAGATGGAAGAAGAACACGATATTTTGTAGAGCAGACAATTCTCTTTCGAATGGTATATAACTCTCTGTAAAAGCATGGGGATTTAGATCAAAATTTTCTGGTTGAAAAAAAGCGACACTACTTTATGAGACAACCTAATATATTGCTACCCTCTAACCATTACTTATTCTCTCAAGTTCAGCATTGCAGTTCAGCTTTTTCATCACAAAAAATATCAGGGTGATAGTTGTGTTGTCCCATTATAAATTGAATTCCTTTGATAATCCTTCCCTACTTTTGGCCTTTCTTTCACTGCTTTTCTTTTCTTGAGCTATATTCTGCGAACTCAATCAAATGATTAGTGCAGCTTTTCCTCTGTCCAGCGACCTGGAATTTCCCGTCCAAGCTTGTACCTAGCCCTAGGGCCGGAATCACGGTGGGCGGAGGTTATACCGTGTGGTAAGTGGCGAAGGGCATCACAGCCGGCTGATGCAGGTACTTGTTGCTGGGTCACAGTGTTGCTCTTCGAAGGAAGCTCGTCTATCCTTTGATTACACTAGTGGCAATCTAAGCATTTTTATTTCTCTACTTTCACGGATTGGTTCCCCTAATCAGAGACTGCCTCCTGCTCATGATGCCTCTCATGTAATACTAGTGATTAAGTTATCATTAGCTACCCTCTCTTGCTAGGGATGTTTTCTGGAGTCTTGCTTTTGGCCTATCCCAATATTATCCAACACTTATTTCTGAGTTGATCTTTGCGGTCTTTTTTTTTTGTTTTTGTTCTAGTTTTCCTTGTCGTTCTTTGCCCTCCTTCTTTTCCCGGCTTTGCTTCGTTAATTTATTACGCCCCTTTTGGGCTGGCATGTCGCTTAGACGTATGAAAATAAATAGAAAAAAACAAACTAATAGTATGTCTTTTTGTGGGAGAAATAATTAACTGCAAACTTAACTGTTTCAGCTCCAGCAAAGCAAATAACAATCGCTCACCGATTAAGCCATCTAACTCGCCATCAAGTAAGTTTACTTTGTGAAAGAATTACGCTTTTGTTCGAAATTGTACCATGTTAGCTTCCGTCATTTGCATGTGTAATCGTTCTTATGACCTTCGGAATCATAGCGGTCGTGGAGCCCATTGGTTTCCTTTGTATTCGTTTTCATGCGTGATAACAATAAGACTCCCATAAAGGGCCTTCGGTGGTAGCTTATGATTAGTTTTGATGTCCTTTGCTCTATCGCCAGGGAGCATACCACTGTCACTGATTTGCTACAATTGCATCTGCTGGCATCTATTTTAGTGATCCTTTCCACTCAATACTTCCTTGGAGGTTTTTCAGAACATCGTCCTGCAAACAAGTATACTCGAACTTCACCACTAAAGGAACATTCACAGATCCCCCATGCCAGGGCTCTTCCAATACCGCATGATCCTGATCGCAGTGTTCGGAAATTAGCAGAACGTCTGCAAAAATGGAATGAAAGTGAGTTGTGTCTTATTGTTTGCTTCCATATATTTTTGTTGTGAAAGCGTTCTGGATGACTTATATCTCCTGATGTGGGGATTTCAATGACTTCATTGGAATATTCATTTGGGAGAGAAGTTCCTATTTCTGTCACCATTTCAATAAGTTCTTTTTTCAATTTTCTTATGGTATAGTATAAAATTATGCTGGTCGCAATCTGTGTATCTTGTGGAATTGGTCTTTCAAGTGCACAGTCCTCCAAAATTTATGGCTGGATTAATGCCGAAGCACGACGAGCATGAGCCATCGAAACCTCATCAGACCACGCCCAAGAGTCGAAAACATGAATCGTGGACAATCGAGTACTTCACTAGAGAACCGTTTGCTCTTGGAGTGGTAGGTTGCAACATAAAAAAAATCAGTATTGCTTATGGCATCCAATGAATAGTTTGTAATGATCTGCTTCTCTTCAGGCTGGTGATGGCCAAAATAAGGAACCTGTAGAAAGATCTCATCCTTCGAAGGAGAATATCAGAGTGATAGAGAAACCACGTCGTCGGGCTAACTCTTCTCCCACATGCGAGGACTGGGAACCTGTGCAACATGTAACCAATTATGCTTGTTTCTTTGCTTATTTGTTAACATGATTTTTAGTATTTCTTTCATTTGTGTTCCTGTTTTTTTTTCTTGAGAGTAGATTTTAAGGATCCCCTTGACGAACCATACTGTTCCTACCCCGTCTGCGCCATCAACAAACTTCAATAAGCCAGTAAAAATTGATGCAGATGGTTATGCCATCCCTTCAACTCGAACTGACGCTATTACGCCACCCAATAGCGACGGTTAGTTTTTTTTGACTCTGAAGACTTCCATCGATTTCAATTACTGTTCTTAGTCAAGCAACCCAAATGTGAAATAGTGGACCTGCGTTTTAGAAAATGAAGTGAAATGTATTTCTGCTATTTTTCAATTTCTGGTTGATCGTTAATAATCTTGCTATCTTGTTGTTCATATTCTTTGAAGTATACATAAGTGGACAAAATAGCGGTCCGTATTATGATCATGCTTCTCGTTTTACTAAATTTACTGGTCCAGGTGCACAAAACGCAACGACACCCGGAAACCTAGTCAGCCACGATGATGTCTTCTACACACCAATGACACATATACGCCCTTCACAGCGAGAACAAAAGTAACATTTATGAGTTTTACGACCATAATCGATTACCTGAATAATTCCTTTCTAACTTTAGCTCGAATCCTCCCCACTCGGTGATTGCACCCCAGTTCTCGCCACCTGCTAAGCAGCCACAGTTTTCACTCATTTCTGGCAGAGGTTAGGAATTTCCATGCTTTGTATGCAATATTGACTACGTGTTACACTTTTAGAAAGCCTGTCGGCGGTGCATTCACCATTTGAACGGAATACTTCTTTGAAGGAGAGAACTGAAGCTCAACTAGCCGCTTTTGATAAAGTTTCCAACAATCGTATCGCTTCAAACAAGCGCGAGACGTTCTGAGGTGAGTTCTCGTTTGTTTTTCCTTGTTCGGAGTTCCCGTATAGCTTGCGAAAATGTCAGAGTTGACAAACTGAGCGGTCTGTACATATCGTCAAATATTGCAACAGAGCAGAACGTTCACGTATGGATCATTTAGCATTGGTATACGAGTATGAAGTGTATACAGGGGGGGGGGGCAAAAAAAGAGTCACTTTGCCTATGGCGCATATCATCAAACTTTTCGTCGCAAAGGATGCCGCTGTTATTGGGAGTTATACGGCAAATTATTCCTTAGATGTCCCCCCCCCCATAAGCAGAATCAGGCCCACCTTCGCTGCGTTCACCGTCTCCAGAATATGACGTCATCTGTCATCACCGTCGAGCTTAAGGAGGCCTACAATAATCGCTCCATTCTGAAGCTGCTACATAAATTCTTCAATCGGATAACTGGTGAATGACTTCTTAGAGACACTAGCTCTGACTATGCAAAATGGCTTTTGACCAGCGTTTCAGAGACGTCGTAATCATCTATGGTTTCTCGACGACCCCGTTGAGCTCGTACCGCGAACCATGTTTCCGTGGGAAAATCTTCTGGTGTCGTCGGTTTAGAAGGCCACTATGCAATGTTTTTGATAGAATAGAATGTGCTCTTCAATATGCAATTGAGCTCATTCGGTTTGGTTTTGGCAAAGTGTAATTAATTCTGTTTTGAATGTGAGTAGGAGTGACTCTTTTTTTTTGCCCCCCCCCTGTATATGTTGGTGTTAGTTTACCAGCTTAGCTTCTCGCACCTCCCTACCCTCGGTCTATAAGGTATGGTGGAAATCCAAACAAAATGAGCGACCAAACGCACCGCGCACTGCATGAATATCGCTGCTGCTAGCTTGTTTCTTGGAAAATTGCTGCTACCCCTGAAGTATGTTTGGTGCGGGGGGGTACTTATTGTCTTGTTCCATTGTATGCTATACGAAGTTATTACGAGCAAACCAATTCGTCTGGGTTTACCACCTCGATACTTCAGCATTTCCATCATTCAGCGAAAATCGTCAAACTATGGATCCGAGTCAATTGGAAAGCCTAAAGAGGATGATGAGAAATAGCGGTGAGTGTTTGCGAACATCTTGAACCCGACGACTCTCCGATGTAAACCTACGATGAGTTTAATAAAGCTTATTCAGTTGGTGGTCATGGAGGGCGTAAATGATTTAAAATGATATGTTTGAAGATAAGCCGAGAATTGTGATGAAATTCTAATTTAGTTAAATTAATTTAGGGCACATCTCTCACAGAAAATATTTGTAATTTTTAGAGATGTCTTTACCTCGCCGCTCATTACCCGTTGGATTCGACTCCTCCTATAGGGATCTGTCAAGTTCAGAACAAGATTCTGCATTGGATATAGCTCACGAAGAGTCTGGAGATGTGAGCACTGCTGCTCTAGATCATGGCGAGCCTTTGTTTCCGGAGGTAGTGACTTTTTGAGTTGTGTGTTGACACTTGTACGAAGTCATCTCAGTTCCAGAAGAGCCAGACAAAGGGCGCGGACATCTCATTGCCCATGGCGCTAGGTGCAAGGTGAGCTGTGATAATTTGCTAATGTTATTATTTCGTTGTTTGTTGTTCCACCTTCGTCCTACTCTCGTGACTGATGAGGACATATCTTTTTCATCCAGTTTCTATTTTCCTTGAATAGTTACAGTTTGTGTTTTCAGTATGGCGGCCGAGTTAGCCTACGCTGAGCGTGTGGAGAAGGTTCAGTCACATCTGGTTGCTACTCGTGAAATAGCCAGAAAAGTCGAAGGGAAGATGGGAACTGCTGAGGTACTTCTTAATAGACAGTGGTAAAGATCATAGCGGCTGAATAAGAGGTGCTCCATAAATCGAATTATTCTTTGTGATTTACAGCAAAACGAAAACGCCGATATCGACGCGATTTTGGACTCAATCGTTCTTCAAGACAAATCGCTTGGTGACTTTTGAATGCGAAAACGCCTCGGCTAATATGCAGCCAAGGTGAGAACGACACTGACCTGATAAGTGCGGGAATTGTGGAGAGCTAGAGTCAACTATTAACATTGAATCGATTATCTTTCTGAGATGTTTGCCGGTCATTAAAGGCAGGCTCTGAATCATCAATCGGAGCTCGATCTAGTCTGTCTCTCATGAGCCATTGGTCACTGCAATTATGCGCTGAAAAGCATATCCGACTCGTTGGCCTTTCCAGTAAAATATGGAGCAAATTATGCTTTTTTAGTTACAGAACCGCTGCTGATGCCGCAATCACGAAGCCAGCCCCCTCACAATTCCAGTCCAATTCGACAGATGGCAAAAACTTGGTTTTGACTGAACGTGAGTGCTGTAAAAAGTTTTTTTTTATCTGAGCTAATGAAATAGTTTTGAACTACAATAAGGTTTGTTACGACGAGTTATAGCTGTCCATTTCAGAAGAGGAGGAAGAGCGAATGGCTCATATAGACTCTTACATCCGGATGCGCAAACATCTCCATAGCCTTCAATTGGTAGTTCTCCGATTGAGAAAGAGGTATGGTTCTCATCTTAGTGTTCTCCTGTTGAAAACATTGCTTTCTAGTAAAAAATTCTCTGACGATTCGTCTTTCAATTTCAGCATCTTTCAATATGTTATCCCATTCAAAGGCATTTCAGTCATACAACAGTCTGCAAATTCAACTTCAGGTCAAAGATTTCTTCCGAACAATCTGAAGTGTCGGCGTCAATCAAGTTGATGCACGGTGACAAAGAGCTATTTGGAAGGCATTGAGCGTCCGGGCTTCGCTCTGCTCTATCAGGCTAAGCGGTTGAGTGTATTCCATAGTTGGGACTATTTTACTGGTTATCTGGCTTGCAAAAGCTGGCCTTCGGGTGTGTTGTTGTTATCGTAAACGGTTTTTCTTTGCGAAAGGTGGTGTGGTTCGCTGAGTGGTCTCATTGGATGCTAAGGTAGGCAATGCAGAGATCAACTTGCTCTTTATTTTAGTCCTAAAAAAAGCTGGGAAAAGTGAACGAGGCTTCGACTCTCCATTTTTCTTAATACACTTTCTGTCCATTGATATCAGTCAAAATGAAAACCTAGTCGAAAATTTGATGGAAATGCAGTGCAATGCAGTTTATGAGGGCAGATTTCCTCGTTTGGTATAGATCAAAGACAATCTCGTCAGCGCAAGGTCTACGTTTGGATAAGCCCGTGAATATGCTTGGTGATACCATCATTTACAACTGCTCCTGATTTGCTGTATGTATGTTGACGAAAAGCGGTAATTTTCCTATGTACTCACTGCAGTTATGTGCTGCACATGCACATGCTTTGGTATATTATTAGATTTTTGAAGAGAAGGTTATCAGAGTCGGTTACCATTGCAATTTGTGATTGTCCTTGCTTTGTAATTACAGGAAAGGCCTCAATTTTTTCTTTTTTTTTCAACTTTTATTTGTGATTTTTACTAGTGTTGTTGTTCGCTAAATGCTTATTTTTGTGATCGAGAAGAGAGCTTTCTACGTTTATCATTACCTGCATAATTATAGAAAAAGCAATGCCGTCCCATCACACAAGAAAAGCACGATGAGACCAGAACGTGAAGCAGTGCGCAGTAATACGGGCGAGTTAAATGACAGCGGTGAGAAAATAATCTGAATACTTTTTTACGCACATGACTTTTATGTGTATGGGTGAGATCTAGGAATTTCATGAATAATTTCGCAGATAATAAAACTGAATAGTTGAAAATTCAGAGAGTCCAGATTGTGCATTTGAATTTTGTAGCTGTCTTTTTTTCTATGCAGCTCTTATTGCAGTGGGTGGTGGTGGTGTTGACGACCTGAGCGCACGTACAATGCGCCGCAACTTAGAAGCCCGTAGAGAGCAGGCTGAGATGTTGAACAGAAGTTTCGAAGAGAGGTCGAGAGACATCGAACAGAAGTAAGGGGTTGTACTGGTTCATTATGAACGTTTTTGTCAGTACTTTACAGTTTAAAATAGAACGCGACACATTTGAAAATGACTTCCAGTCTGTAGTGATCAGACCAAGTGCTTTTACAGAACGAAGAAGTCGATAGCAGTGCAAATTCATAAGTATGACCGAGTAATCGCAGAACGTACGAATCTCATAAATCACCTTGAAAAGATATCCACTGAAGAACGTTACGGTAGGTTTCTCTTTTGTGATCTTGCATTTTGAGAGTTTTTAAGTTTGCGGTATTCTCATCGTTTAATACGTCTTGAGCTTACAATTAGTGAATTCTTGTTTTCACGTCTTCAGAAGTTCCCCTTCCACCTCCAAGAACCCCAACGCCTCGTCGTGACGGCATTGCTCCCTTAGACCTGAGTCAATTATCTCAAGAAGATTCCGCCAATGAAGTGGTAGCTTTTGATCAGAGGGTTGTGATTCATTCAACTGCCGACAATGAGCAGTCTTTTCCTGCAGAGGTGAGCATTATTGTGGTCGTTACGTTATTTCATCATTTGCTCTCCATTCAACTCTGTTTTAGGTTCGTTCTCCCTGAAGTGTAGACTATGAGTCACTTTGCGTAATAAAGAAAATCTATAGGGAGACCTGCCACAATTACTTGACTCAATGAGGGTGTGCTTCACTAGGACAGAAAGCGACTTTTTCGCGTTTCGCAGCGCGAAACATTTTTCGCTGCGGGAACCTCAGGTCCACTGATGATCAGGGGTGGACCTGAGGTTCCGCAGCGAGAAATGTTCGCGGCGAAATGCGAGAAAGTCGCTTTCTGTCCTGGTGAACCACACCCCTTCGATGATAAATGGTCGAGGCTTCAGTTTCATTGTGTGGAACGTGAATTTGGTAAAAACATTTTCCAAGTATTTCCAGGACCAAGCAGATGTCGGAATCGCTCGAACTCGATCGCAGTCAACGGTTTATGAAGATTCGTTATCACACATTTTAGTGACGAAGTGAGTGGAAATTTTTCTTAGGTTTTATTTTAGGCTTACTCCTCCTACTCGCAGTGTCCAAACGTCTTTTTCTATTTTAGTTTTAAGCGCATTTCGAAATGAGAATCTGTAGCAGCTTTTTCCAGCTTTGTTAATTACAAACATCTTTCCAGGAAGAGAGACCAACTTCAGTGAGCTCAGGAGGCTACCTTGTATCAGTCGGATCTAGAAGGCGCGTCACATGAAGTAACCTGATTGTCCGCGGAGACAGGTTAGAATTATGTTCTCCTCCACATTACTACCTAGATGGGCACGTCCCTCTATATGGTTTTTTTCATAGGTTCTATTAGTCTTTGTATTTCCTAATTTATCTTTTTCCTTACATCGGTAGTGTTTCATTCAACAATCTGTTCAGCACGGAAGTGGGCAATTACTTCTTTCCATTGATATTCTCCATTTCTTCTGTGACTAAAAGCTTTCCTCAGGCAAAGCTCTCGCTTTCCAAAAGTTTCTGGCATTTCAAAAATAACCCCTATGGTAATATGCTTGATTTTTTGATTAGTGGTGTCAGGCAGGTCAATGAGGGGGGGGGAGTGCCATTATGTTGGGCAGAGCCTAAGATTCAAGTCGCAAGTCCATTTGCGCAATTGTCAGTTGTTGAGATTAAAGTATGACGGCTTATTCTGCTCATCCTTTCCTGCAATTCTGATTCTTGCAACAGCGATATTTCGTGCGTTGGAAGCTAATGAGTGCTCTAGCATTATGCCGAAACCTCGCCGTAAGATAGAGGGATGAAAGTTTATCTCAGAAGTTCACTTTCACGAAGAAGTCATGGAACGTGCAAGCGGACTTAAAATCATTCCAACTTGTATTCGTCAACTTCGCAAGAGAAAGCGAATATTTTCTGTTTTCCATGATAAATTTGACTTTATAAGAGCGGCTGAATCGGAGCGAATATCGGTTCATAGCTAAGTACTAAACTTCGGTTTTTTCATAACAGAATAGTCAAACACCTGACGTGGAAAGGCCATCTTGACCTGTAACACAACGTCACGGAATCGGCTATCAAAAATAAAGTATCCGAAGGAAGTCAAAGAAACTAGAGGAAAGAGCGCAAATTCCAAACCAACAAAGCTTCGTGTGTCGTGTACAGTGCGTACCAAAAGTATGTGGACACCCTGGAATCGATTCTCAGGGTCAGCTAAAGGCTTTTATGTCATGAAACCTCCACCATTCAACTCCTAGTGGTCGATAACCTACAATGATATTTTCGGCAAAAGATTTCGTTCTAACTTAGCGAACTATTTTTCATGGAAAGTTTTTTCTTTGTATCAAAATTATGTGGACACTTTTTGAAAAACGGCAATATCTTCAAGAATCTAAAATGATGCTTACCAGTCCCTGATAGTTAAGGCATTTTGTCTTTGCATATAAACCGCTCTGGAACATGGCTGCCGATCTACATATCCCACACCACTCAGACCCTTTATACAGACGTTTTAGGTACACACCATCTCTCCCAGGTCACCCAGTTCCTTTCGGACACATTTGCGGGTCACGGACCCAAGGTCCTCTCCATAGACAATCAAACCCCACCCAAGCATGGCAAGAAATGAGCTCATTCTATGCCAGTCGAGTTTGTCTATGCGGGGAATCTCACAACCAAAAGCCTTTGTGATACTAATCTTATTACCATTTTCCACGAAAGCGCTGCTGTGTGGGTTCAGGTTTAATCATGTTGTGATCCTTTTTTGAGTGGGAATTCCAACCTTGCCAACCTGAACCCGCATTCATATACAAAGCCTTCCTCATCTTCTTTCGTGTCGTGTGCTCAATTGATTGAATGAGACACCGATTGGTCTTTTTTAAGATCGGGAAGATCATTTATGCGTGAAGTTGGATAGTACGAAAAGAGAAATTTGAGAAGTTTAAAGCACGAGTCGGGATTGAATTGATGCGTTATTTTGTTCAAACATTAGGCAAGGGGTGCAATGAGGAACATTAGTGAGGAGAAAAAGCAAAAAGCACCATAGAAAACACTAAATTTCCCTTAGGAGGCCGGCCGTAGTACGACGGAGAGACACAGCGCTGCGAGGAGAGGGAGAACGCGAGATAGTACGTCATACGTGAGAGTCGCAGAGACCACGTATGCTGTGGTGGATTATGCTGGCAGCGCGGGCGGCGAGCAAGGCCTTAGCGCCAATTACCGCGCACTTTTGGGTCACGATAGTGTCGTGCCCTTAGTGCTTGGGGAGCCCACTATCACACCCTGGGAAGGACTTCTGCTGTTTGCCTAATCCTGACTTTGTGGCTTTAAGGCTTTCTTTCTCCTGTTTTGAACAAGTAGCGATTGAGAACAACCCTCAGTCAAGGTCGAGAGCTTAGCATCAGGATTTCGGATTTCTCTCCAAACCTACGAGGACGCATGACTGGTTGACGTGCTATTTCGCAATAGGAAGGTTCAGAAGCATGGGGATCCCATTTCTGTGCTCGGTCTTCTTCAGAAAAACGCTTGCCGTGAAGAGGAATGATGCCAGAATAAGTAACGAAAGGAGAAGTAAAAATAGGTTAGGAAATCGATGCAAAAACTTCATCTGCCTCAGACAAGCCGTTTCTTTAGCCCATTCTTCCAATACGGACATGGTGCGGCCTACGTAATACCTCTTAGACCTCATGCCTCATTAAAAAACGTTAGAAGGATTATCTGTGTTCTGCGGTCTCTCGTCATTGGTCCGAAAGATAAATATCAAAGTGAACCCACACGTCTGATGGAATTGACTCTTCTTGGGACAATCGGCAAACATTATCCAGATCCGTTCATAGCATGCCAGTAACAAAATCCTTTACTTACAACAGTTACTGTTGAATGGGCCTACCGAATTTCAGATTAGAAGATATTGCCCGCACTTCTTACAAGAAGTGTCCGCATAAACTGTTTCGATAAAAAAGAAAAAAATTTTCCCATGAAAAGTAGTGTCGCACAGTAGACGAAATCTTTCCGCCGAAAAATCAAGCGTGTAGGTTAATCCAGACTCTGAAATGATTTGAAATAGTGACACGAATAAGCTTTAGCCGACTCCTGAGAATCGAATCCAGGGTGTCCACATACTTTTGGTACGCACTGTATACACGTTCACACTAATTATTGATTGCTATTCTTATTCGGTTTACGGAAATATACGTACTTACAGAAAAATACTGTACTTAAGAATGTGTTATATTTGTCTTTGAAGATGACCATCGTCTTCACTCTCGTCGTACACTGGACACTGCAGAAACCCTAGCGATGCTTTCTCGCAGTGTTGTTGCAGTGGCGACAACATCTGAGCATGATGGCACGGATCAGAAAATACAGGGTATCATTAATGTAAGGAAGTCTCCAGATAATCGTTAAAAACAGTACAAAGTATACTCATGTCCACCACTTCCAGGAAGCTGTGCGTGAGAGTGCTATGCCGCAGGTGGAAGCTGATGTGGATGTACGCCTTGAGAAAGTGGAAATATCCGAAGGAATTGTCAGTGCGCTGAGACTGCCTAACGATAGCAATTTCACTATAGAAGCAAGTGTTAATATCGAGTCAATGGGTGCAGCTGGAGAAGGTGTAGATTCGAAGAGGGACGAGCATGAACTCATTGAGGAATATCCTCCCGGTAAAGATAGGGCTTTTGCTAGTGGTGACATTGAGGCTGGATCTCCATCTCACGCTCATCCGGATGCAGAGGTCGTGGGAGTTGAGAGTTCTCAGGTAAACGAAGAGAATATCGTTTCACAGCCTCTTAAACCCGAGAAAGTCTCAGTGGTTGTTCGTCCACCAAAAGACTTCTCTCGTCTTCGACTTTTCTTTGGTAGTCCCGATGAACCAACTGAAGATAGTGTCGATTGTCAACCAACCGACGATGATGACATGCCAAATGATCAGTTCGTATCGAAAGCGGAACCGACCAGTGATATGATGGCGGAGGACACAGATGACTCGGATCGAGCCCCAGAAACCTCTTCGGTCAACGACGATGAGGATGTGCCGGTTATAACATTGCGTCGTTTCGTTTACAAAGAGCCAGTCATTGGAGAAAAATATCAAGTGAGTTTCTGAGGGAACATGTTGCTGGTGGTTAGTGTAAAGTAGTAAAGGAGTAAGAACTCTCGTCGTGGAGTAGAATCTTACTTACCAGGGAAGCTATCAACTCCTCATGGAACTTTGAATCAAAGGCAAAATTTACGATGAAAAGTTAGCTCATTGGAAATAAGGGTAGAGGTGGTCAGTGGAGCAGGGATGAAGAAGAAACCATTTGAAACGGCCCGAAACCCGAGAAATGGGACCCTTCTTTGCCCGTTGATTTGCGCATTGATGCGACTCTCATCGCTGTGCCCTCTTCAACACTACGCTCTCTCTGCTATCTAATCACTCGCCACGTATAGACCTGCGGCGAGTGATTAGATAGTCGGTGGGCGTACCCCGCCAACCGCGCCAAGAGTGAGCCATGCTAGATCGCCGAGGTCAAATCTTTTCGCTGCCAATTGCGCGTCGGTCAGCACCCTCAGGAGTCCGCCCTGTCTCCCAACTATGCAATTTTCTCTTTCTAGACCTACGTTCTATTGTGAATCCTCCTTTGTAACACATTCACGACGACGCCCCTTTTCCACTTTTTGGCCGCGTGGGACGGACGCGATTTTGTGGGCGCCGCCGCCTCACCACATCACCGCAGATTTCCTTTTGTAAATGAACAAAACCATGAATGTCACAAAATAATTTCTGCAATGTCCAATGCGTAAAGATTATCTAAACATATAACAGTAGGATTTCGATCAGAACGACAAATAGTGGTTACGAAAAGAGAGCATTTATTCACTTTCCCGTGAAGGAATTTAAAAGCATTTTACACTCGATTACGAGGTTTGCCCACCTATCTGTCCATTCCTAGCGCCTGGCAAGCGATTATCAGTTGGCAGCCCATATGGGCTGCCATCGTCCCAGGAGCGCATGTTGTTGGCAGCCCATATGGGCGGCCATCGGCGTGAATGTGTTAAGACCAACATCACATGAATCGATTCGAGTAGTCAATGCATGGTTACAATTGGAACTGCAAACTGTAAAAATGAACTTTGCTAAGGAAATTTTCAGCAGTCAAATTCAGTCAGGAAAAGCGTTACATGTGAGTCTTGCTAGTCTCCGGACCTTCCCAGCCGCCGTAGAACTAGAGCAGTGGTAGTGCTCTCGCTCTGTAGCCGGTAAGTCATGAGTTCTCTTCCCTTTGGAGTCCAGATTTCGAGAGCACTACCACTACTCCACAGCGACTCTGAGGCGATTCATATGTAAATATCTGCCAGATTTGACTGCTCACACTTGTTGGCAAGTTTATTTTGCAGTTTTAGTTTCCATTTGTAAATCACCGTTGAGGCGCTATGGACATGTCTAGGTCTTGATTTAATGCTCCATGGGGAGTTAAATGCTTTCCCTGGTTGGTTTGAGGAAGATTGTTTTCCAAGAGAGGTTTCAGTAATATTATGTTGGCAGGTGTGTGCATTGTTTTGAAATCAAAAATTCGTAGTTTGACATTTTGATTCAGGAAGACACTGAGCTGGAGAAAACTCAGTGGGAAGTGACACCTCCAGGCTCTCCAGTCAAAAAAGCGGAAGAAGTATCGTCGGCTCACGAGAGCACCCTTAACGACGCATTCATCTTAGACCTATCTGCTACACAGAATTCGGAGGGTAGGTGAAATACAAAAGAAAATGGTGATCCTTCGTGTCTTTTCACGCCAGAAATGGTTTTTATCCGGAACATGAATATTTGTTCCCGCCATAGAGGGGAATATTTCATTTCCAGCCGGACAGGATGAATTTTAATAAGGAAAAGGTAATGTAATGGCTAAGGGGAGGCTCATAGGGTAGACGTAGTGTAATAGCAAAGTGGCACCGCTCACCGTGCGCCCCGGTTCGGGGATTAAATTTGGGTTGGACATCGCCCTGGCCAACCAGATTTTCCGTCCTTCCGTTTGTTCCCCAGGCCTCTTCGGAATGACATCACCGTCTGCCCCATAAAAGGCTCTGTGTGGGACGATTAGTGTAGACTCATTAACAGCCTATATGCACTGACACAGGTCCACATAATCTGTGCCATAGATTCATTTTTCTGCCCATGATTAAATGCTACTGTGATCATGAATGGAAGTCCACGTGACGATTTTGGAAAGGGGTTTATTGATATCAATTGCATAATCTGGAGAAGTGGCAAAGAAAGCTTTCTTGTGGCAAAAATTTAGCGCTTCTTCTCTTTCAACGTAGTCTTTCTAGAACATTTTCCCAACGGTTTTTTTGTAGCGATAAATATTCAAATAATGTGATCCAGATTTTTTTACTAGCCCACTTCGTTCATAATTGAGCACCTTCGCTTCATTTTCGTTTTCTTTACTATATAGTTGTTGTTGTTTAGGAACCGTGAACGATTTGGATGAAGTCGAAGAAAAGAATGAGTGGTTAACGGACGATGAACAGCCACCGATGATCGCGGATGTTGCCGAGAAATATTCATCGGTCGAGGATGACAAATGCTATGGCGGAGAAAAGGAAAATATAACTCCAACAAGAAGCCCTGCTTCTTCGCTCAGTGTTTCGAAGGAAGAGAAAGCAGAGAGCAATGAAAACGATAGATCCGATGGTCTAGTCTCTGAAAGAATGCAAAGACGACAAGGAAAAGGAACGCGTGACGGCAATTGAAAAGCTCGACCTCTCAATTGTTGGGAATGACGATGTAGACAATGAAGAAGTAGAGAGCAGAAAATCAACTGAAAGGCTTGTCTGGCAACCAGTTGAGAAGAGGGATAGTTCGTGAATCTAGAGATGGATCGTGTAGAGATATCTGAAAGCGTCCATGTAACTGATGAAAAGCGAGTTTCGCCGGAATCTGTCAGTATGGTTGAACAAGAAAGCCCTATAGGGGATGCAGGAATTCAGAGTACTCCAACTCCGCAAGTCATCAAACACTTTGAAGATATAAGGTTGGACATTTTTCTTCATCATTTTTATCTAATATTTTATTTTTTGTCTAATATTTGGGATTCTTAAAGTAGAATAATTTTACTTCTGTAGCGTCTTGATCTTTAAAATCACTAGTAGGGTTTTTCATCGAGTCTTCATTTCGGCGTTAAACAATATCTTTTATCAAACGTGATTCAATAAACGCCCCTACCTCCGTCCACTCAAAATTTGACTTCGTTTGCATTTAGTGAAATTTGGCCCTGAGAGTCTGAAAAGCGGTTCTGAAAAAGAAGGGTATGGCAAGGACGTGAATGAGGTTTCTCCGCTGGAGCGCACTAATGATGGTCGGCCGAGCATGGTGAGTGGTCAAGATCTTCTAGAAGTTACCAAAACTCGTTCTAACCCGTATGTTTCAGGGTTTGAATCGTAGTGAGCTATGCGACAGTTTGTCAACGTCCATAATACAACTGATGACGGACTCAGCATCACCACGACGTCGTTCATTATCGCAGATAGCGCGCCGCTATGAGTTGAGCGAATCCCTGTTAGAGGATTCTATCAGTTCCTCGTCGAAGTCGCCACGTGCTCCCAAAGAGTAAGTAGTCTTGTAATTCCAGTTTTAGTTACTAGTAGTGATTTGTTTAGACGATTTACAACTAAAATGCCTGCTTCAATTTCACCTCGAGCGAAAGCACTACTGGAGGAAGGTCTAGACTATTCACTGGTGAGTGTTGAAATTTGATACTGTCCTTTCTTGAGGGTGGTACGGTGATAACATGAGGGATCCTAGGATTGTCCGTTACGTAGCCACCTGTTGTTGTATCCTACGCTTTGAATCTAACAACCTCTCTCTCGGTAGGAGGCGCTTCCGCCCGCGGCCAGCCGACTCTCACAATCAACGCGCTGTCCTGGTCCGAGCGGCTTTCGCTCATTTTCGCTAACACTACACAGTCGCTGCAACTGGTCTGAACAAAAGCCGGAAAGGAATGGCTTACCGACGACGTATACTTTAGGGTTAACCGGCGTTTGTGTCGATTTCAGAATTTTTCACGACATCACCTCTTGAGGGAGTCTTGACCCGACCTCCCTCATCATCTCTGGGAAAGATCTTTTACCATACGACCTTCCCCTCCTCTCTAACCCATCACCTTTACCGCCATGGCTGCGTCCATGGTATTTGATTTAGAGGCCAGTCAAAATACTCCGACCCGCCACTCGTGGAGGGGGAAGCAAGGAGAGCGGGAAGATAAATGTGTTTTCAAGAAGCGAAGCATGAAAAGCGAATGCTCCTAAAAGTTCTTCATTATTCCACACTCTTCTTCTTTTACTGATGTTCCCGCTAGAATCGTAAGAAACCCCTAAAAACGATTCTCCTTTCCCATTTGCCTTCACCAAGGCCATCGAATTTTTCCTCACCGCGACCAAACTTAAAAACTCAAATATTACCCTTTTTGTCCATCATACACAAAAACGCGAAATGCCTGCCGGCCCATCCCCTACGTCCAGTCAAATACGACTTCTCTCCTAGTATCAAAAAAATATCGACCCAACCCCTTTGTTGAGCTTGGTACAGCGGACGGGTTGGCCCCGGCTGCGACTTTGAATCGGCTCGCGCATGAACCTTCTTGGCTCCTGGTAAAACGGTCTGTCCTTACATTTTGCGCTGGACTGTTGGTTATCTTGTCCCTCATTAATAATTACGTAGCAGCAAGGAAACTTGGTTTAGCCTAATTAGCGGGGATGGGAGGGGGGGGGGGGAACAGAAAGAGCCACTTCGCCGCATGGCACCATCACGCGAACTTTTCGCGCAGTGTGCTGCCTGTTATGAAAGCTTGGCCAAATACTTTTCATGTTTCTCTCCCTTTCCCTCTCCAAAGCAGAGGCAGGTCCTCTACTGTCCTTACTGTCTTCGGAATATGACCGCATCTGCTATCACCGTCGAGCTCAAGGAGGCGTACCGTGATTGCTCCAGCCTGAAGCTGCTACGTAATGTCTTCAATCGGTTAATTGATGGGTGGGTAGCCTCTAAAATAGTAGCCCTGACATGCAAATCACCTACCGACCAGCATTCAGATAAAGTCGTAATGGCCTGCGGTGTGATGGTCGAGATTCTCGTTGAGTTCGAGTCGTACACCATGTTTCAGCGGCAGATTCTTCTGGGGTTGCCCGTGTAGGAGGCTTGAAGCTTTTGATAGATTGGAATGCGCTCTTCAAGATTCAACTGGGTGTATCAACTTGAATTGGATCAATAGATTATTCCTTTTTAATATACTGCAGAATGACAGCTCTTTTGGCACCCCCCCACCCTACACTTTGGGAAAACAAGCTTCAAGGCTGCAGGGCTCAACACTATTTGATGTAACTACCCTTACTATCGCAACTTTTTTCTTTCCGGTCTCAACAAAAAGCGGGTGCTGCAACTCAAACATTTTCCAAAGCTTTAAGATTTGATTACAGGCGGAAACGATCGTGAAATCTGAAGCGGCGAAAGCAATCACGGATGAGAAAATACGTGAAATTGATGAAATGATGGGTAAGCTGTAGTTCTGTTCACCTACTGTTTTCTTGCTTTCCTCTTTGAATCTTAGTTTTGTGTTCAAGTTCACAGATGGGCTATACGAAGTGTTTGTCAGGTATGTGTTCTTTTGGCATCCATCGGATACAGGGGAGGGGGGAGGGGCAAAAAAGATTTGTCATTGTGCGGCAATCAGCTGCTGATGATTTCTACTGAGCATTCGTTATACGATCCTCTATAACCAGAAACAAGGCTTTTGCTTACTGCCTTCATCGTCTTCAGAATATGAAGTCATCCATCAGTCGTCAAGCTCAGGTGTAGAAAGAAAGTCCTTTTTGTTACCCGTTCCCTACCCTCTTCCTCCCCCCCCCCCCCCTTTACACGTACTCAAGTATTACATAGAAGGCTTGTGTCCAGACACACTGAAAGAACGGTAACTCAAGTAATAACTTTTTGCACTCAAAATGTGCATGTCAAATCTGTTTGTTGTCGATGAATTTGCTAGGTAAGCCAGAAGAGTAAAGATTGCTAAGGTCCGAGAACGTCGTTCTCCCTCCGGGTTCATGTTCACGGAATTTAGTTCTACTTTTCCCCTTTATTATGATTTACCCATTTCTCAGCTTATCCTATTATCACCGTTGATTTGTTGTTTTCAGCATCACTTCATCTCAAGCCTCTTCCAGTCGAGACGAATGACAGTACTCCATTGGCAAGGCTCAATACATCTCTGGACGAAACATACGAAGATTTGTTGTCAATAGAAAAAGTGAGCGCTCTGATGTTCCACTTGTAGAATATGAAGTTACGAGTAGTGTCCATGCCTATCTGGTGATTTTGCAGCCGTCCTCTGTATTCGATAAGATCCCTTCGACTTCTTCGCCACCAGTGGATCTACCTTTGAAACACCGTTAGTTATCAGATTTGTCTACGTCGTTATTTATTCTGCAGTAATATCAATGCTTTCAGTCATAAGATGAGTCTGTAGGATGTGCTCATTACAGTATCTCAAAAATTTGCCTATTCGATCCTCTCTTACTAGCTCACAGCTTGTTTTTACTGTTCCCTAGCTGGTGTCAACGCCTACTTTGTGTTGAATGCTTTGTTTGCGCTCATTTCTACTCTGATATTTGTGTATTCCAGTTGCGGACACCCCGCGCAAGATCCCACCTCCGGCGCAATCGCCACCATCACCGGAGGCGATCAAACGACAGCATTTTGTAGAGCTGAAAGAGAAGCTGGACTCTCCAGAATGGATGGATGCCACAGTGCGCTAATTGGTCAATTTATCAATTATAGATTGAGAAGTATTCCTGTTTTTTAGTGTGATCAATTCTCAAAAGAGGTGTGGTCTGTGGTGGTGACAAAAGGCTTCATGCGCCCGTTATATGATGACTTTGTGCCTGCTCCAACATGCAGCGATAATGTGCTAGTTGAGACCGAAGATGAGCGAAAACTGCTCGATAATAAAAAGTGAGTAGTATGAAAGTTGACCACATCAATACTGAATAGTTTTTCTCGCCAAAGTTGTGTTCATTAACGCGTTCTGCTTAATTACGAAGGGAGGCCTCCGTACTAGATACCTGTTTTCGTGTGCTGTCTCATACGTTGTTTATATTGTTGTTTCTTTTCCTGTACTTAATTTCTTGTAATGGTTTCTAGTATAGTGCACGAAAGATATCAACTGGTTTAGAACCTTGATTTGGGCTGCCGTGGTTGAGCTAGCGGCAATGTTATGGCCTGAGCATCCTGACAGTAGTGTTCGAGTCAGCTCCAAATGGTTACCTATACCAACAAACGAGTCGCAATTTTCTGAGATGGCAATACGATATATGCGTGAACAGGACAGCGGTGAGTTTATCTTGGTTGCTGTTGAGTTGGTTTTTTTCGATCCACCGATTTAGTTAACCCTTTCCGGACCGCCTGACACACATGGTGTGTCAGGAACTTCAAGAGCTGATTTTTCCAAGAGTTTGGTTTTTTCGATAAAATATTTTATGTTGTTACATACCTATGTAACAGACTCATGCCATATGTATGAAAAAACCTAGACTTTAGGTTTAATCTAGGTTCTAAAATAACCAAAGAGTAAATGGACTTCCACTTTGGGCTCAAAGAAAACAGTTGTAGTTCGCTTGAAAACACTTAAAAACGAAGAATTTGTGAAATATCCTGCTCGTCGTATCTGATTCTTATGGATCCAATCGTTTTGGGCACGTTCTACTCCCTTTTTCTCCATACCAACTTATTTTGAACAATTTTCGTCCCTTCCTCCCTTTTTATGGCCCTTTCCCTTTTTTTGCAAAACAGTTTTCTGTCAAATTAATCTTATATATTCTTCGAGACATGACAAAGACATAAACGAGACAAAATAATGGCTTTAGTGGGAATACAGATTAAATATATGATATTTATGCTTGCCGCGCAGCATGCGGCCGTGAGCGCAAAAAGTGCGCGGTCCGGAAAGGGTTAAAAACCTCGAGATGTTGAATATTGCTCTACTAGAAAGCGCTTAGAATAGGAATACGTTCAATTTGCCATGCTTCCACGAGAGACGGCAGTGATGTAGTGGCAAGTGGCACGCTTACCACATGCGCCGTCCGGGGATCGAATCCAGCGTCGTGCTTCGTATCGGGATCGGTTAATTGGTACCAGACTTGTCTGGGAGGATAAAAACACTGACTTGTACATCGGCTGGCCCCGCAAGTCATTGTATAGGCCACATCGCATTCAAACGCCACTGCGAATGTACAAATGGAAGTAGAATGCGTGCCGCATCCCAAAAAGGGATTGATCAACGGCAAATGCTTTATCCTTTATCTACGAAATTGGTTCTAATTGTTTGAAGGGGAATTTACCGGAATCTTATTTTGATATGTATACGCGCTTGAAATTTGGGTCTTTTTTCAAGCAGTTATGATGAATATCTGTGGAATTTGAACATAGTAGTTTTTAAGAAGGTTGTATTACAGAGCTGCCGCCAATCTCATCGCTACAAACGTCAAAGCCGCCCTCCGGCCCCACCGTATGCTGACCCTGCCATTGATGAGGCGGTGGCGCGATATTTCTACAGCCGAGGTTCCAATAGCTTTGTAAGTTTATTTTAAATTACTGAAAAGTAAAAAGAATACTAGAAAAGGACTGTGGGAACTGTCATTGTTTTGGCTGCGTCTTTTCGTGGCGGTTTAGTGGGCAGCAGATTAGCGTGGCGGACACAGCTGAGTAAAGGCTGTGAGATGGGAGTACTCTTACTTCACGTGTTTGTGCACTCTATGTGGGTCAGGCCTGACCCTGTGCTTCCAAAGGGCTATTTAGGTAACGTGTTTCCTGGCAGACAGAAAATTAGTTAGACGATGCGCTCTGAAAATCGCAGCAGTCTCAAAACTCTGATTGTCTATGTAGGGTGAGATTTAGATGGTGATTAGATTTGCGTCTACGCCTAAAAATGCGCGACAGTCATTGTTCACAGCATTTTAACTCAACGTGAGAAATGGTGGTAAAGACAAAGCATAGCAAGATGAAATGCGTCTGGATGAGGGGCGGAAGAGAATGAAGTGTGTGTCTCTCGATTCAACTGGCACTACCCCGTATCATAGCGCCATGACCGAACTATAAACGTGCCGTCCGCTTGAGCTTGCCCTTCTGCTCATCCCCAGAAATTTCCAATGTAGAAGTTCGCTGAGAAGTGACTGAATGTAACTGGCTAGCGGTCAGTTGACAGCGGCTGGTTACGGTAGGAATGGTGGTAGGCGCCTGGCACTTTTTAATGAGTTGTTGATTGCCACTAAAGGACACCGTAGAATCCGCTGTGTGCCTCCAGCGCTTTCCATTTCGCGGGATCTGTACGCCTTAGCGACCTAAAGAAAACTTCCTAGAGAAAAAGTTGTGAGAGTTCCTGTATTCAATTTATCGATAAACTAATTTTTGACAGTTCTAGCTTCATGAAAGGATGCTTGACCGAAAAAAATCACGTATATTTCCTGCTTCTTGTTAATCCTATTCATTTATCAGGCCCGCAGAGTGGATGCTGAATACCGTAAGATGTGTGGAGAGCTGATCGATCTGGTCGGCGATCGTTTTGTCTCGAGTGAAACACAACGAATGTATCACAGCCTAAGCGCCGGCGGCGATGACGTCAACGAATCACTCCTGAGGCCGTCATCGTCATCGTTTGGCCAACTAAGTGGCGACTTCGGTCGTCCCTCTTTGGCTCGGCTGTCAATCGGCAGCGGTTCGTCGATCGGGCGACGTTCATCGGCAACCGCCGTCGTAGTGCAGCCACTTACCGTTGTGCATGAGGAATAGGAGCTCTTACCTTTATTCAGTCTTTCAATTTGTCTACCGTAATCTCTTCCAAGGGGTACCGGCCTGCTGGTCAAACTGCGTTCAGTGAATGGTGTCCACTGCCGGTTTTTTGCATTCACTTGATCTGTATCTCTTGTTTTGCTCCATACCGATGCGTATAAGTCATTTCCTAATCAATTCCTTACTCCTTTCGCTATCTTCGTTCATTATTGTTTTTGAATATGATCTAATGTGCTGTATTTAAATCGTTTGCTGTCAAATTTTCAACTACTTGCAATGAATTTTTCACCCTTTGTTATGGTCGTTAGTGAACAAGTTGTCTCCGATGCAGGCATTATTATTTCTGGACCTTGCAGTCATCTAAGAGCAAAGTCTTCTCCTGCGCAACATTTCATTAGTTTCTTCGAGGGCGATGATCACGATGGCTGGCGGCGTTCGGTTTTGATGTCGTCACTGAACGTCATTGGGGAAGGGTATCGAAAGGCGGTCCTAACCGCATCCCTCAACGACCGGGTATGCGACAAGAAGGCGGACGAGTCATAACGCGCCGGTGTAGGGCGTACTCTCTATTGTGGAGTTGCACGGAAGTGTGCGTAATGGTCCTCCTCTCATGTACCCCCCCCATCCTGTCCCGCCCACCAATGATGAACCGCGCCGCCCCGCGATCACTGCCTTTAACTTACTGCTAGGCGTCCAAGCAGTCTGTGTACAATCAGGGTTTAAAATATTATATACGTGAAGATGCAATTCGGGATAACTCGTGAAATGTGTCAAGTTAAAAGGACTTGGTGCTAGGTGAGGTGATATGTGCCGCTACTGGGACGGACAGGACGATTGATATCAAACGACGACGTAGGTTGAAAAGCCTCCATTTCGGTTCGATCAGCCCTTCCCTAGCGGCCCGCCCCTTTCGGCCCCTAGGCCGCTGCCGGACTTGGAGAATCGCTCGATTCGTAAAGTCTGACACCGGCCCTACCTTCACTCGCCGTCTGATCGTCAAGTTCTCTTGTTCGCACACACACTCTTTTGTGCTGTAAGCTCGTGCAATGCCATGGATTAACTATCAAATATTGATTTATTCGGGCATTTCGGCAGTTTCCTTCTTTCTCTAGCTTCCTTCTTTATTGTCGAGCATGTCGTCTCATGTTTGATCGCCGTGCTATCCTGGAATCCCCTCTCGGCATTCTCCTGAAACAGCCTTCCAATCATAGTTTCAAGAGCATTTCAGGATATCGCACTTGGGTTGAAGTGGAGTGTTGTTATTAAATATATGATCGGCCGTGGAATTCTCGCCCTTGAACCTCTAGGCTTGTTTGGTCTGAGGAACGTCGATATGTCCCATTACCAAACATATGAACCAAATATGCAAACCTGCGATTCCATGTGACAGTCGAAGACGCGGCGCAACTTACAAGAATGTTCAGTGCTCTGCGTAGGCGCTTTTCACTCTAGGGCATCGAATGGTAAGGGACATAGGATGGCAGGATCCCTTCAACCTTCAGTTCATTTACTGGCCAGATCTACGCATGTGACCGTCATCGATCATGTAGGTTTCATTGAACTACTCATTACTGGTCACCCACTTTTTTTCAAGAATGCCAAATTATTGGTCTATCGTGGGCAAGTTTCGCTCGAAAACCGCAAGTTATTACCAAGAAGGTTATGAGCAAGAAGCTACTCGAAGCTCATGTCAGCCGACACCCTTTACTACGATACTCCATAGCCAAGCCTCGTTAATTTTCTCGATTCTGGTTCTCTGGAGATCTTCGATGCTAAATTGGAATCACTGCACCCATATATTATCGGATTCAAAGATGCGATGGCTTTCGCGGAAGAATGCGGTCGCTTCTGTCCATCACGAGGAAAGAAGAGCTCCAGGACAAAGGGAGGGCCATAGGCTTGGTCCAGTATTTCATTTGCACTTTTTTGCCTTGTGGTTGTCGGGTGTGGGTCAGTTTACCGTTCAGCGCCATTTGTTTCAACCGTTACATTCGTCTGAAGCCGAAGAAATC